ATTAACCCTACAAGGATAAAGCAGATTTCAAATTTCCACTCCCAAACACATTTTAAATAAGAAACAAACAAAGCCTAAACCAACACATCTTTATAGAGCCAATAAAGTACCCTGTTCTTTCTTGTATGAAGTCCATTAAAGTAATAAGCAGCTTTAACTATGGGTTATTTTAGGGAATTACAGCAAACAAGCATCTATATTCCAACATTTCAGAGCTCCCAACCATGTATGGCAATATTCCTCAAAAGTAGTGATTCAATTCTTAAGGCATGATTTGTTTAAGATGCAATCTAACCAAGACAAGCATGAAATATATTCAGAGCAACAATAACAAAACACAGTCGATGTTTACGGAGTTGCATTATTTCAGCCAGAACTTTGTGGAGCACTTTTTTCTGTTTACTGAGAATACAGTCATCGAATCAAACTTTACTTTGTATGTTTGTACTCATTAAAGAAAAACAACATGATTTATTAAAATCTATGCAATTAAACCTTTTGGCATTTCAGCTCAAAATACTTTACTATAAATACTAGGCCTATATGTACTATCCATATTCCCTAAAGTTTTATATTATTTCTGAATACTATATAATATTTAGAGACACTAAATAAATTTTAGTTTAAAATACTATATATATATAACTAAAAACGTATCATACAACAGTATAATATTTCTAAATGCTGTATATAGGATACTAATACAATATATTTAAAATGGGTCTTTTTTTGTATTTTGCTTGTACTGAGAAAACAAAGTCACAAAGTTTAATTAAATCTGTTCTAGTGGAAGAAGTACAATCATGGCAAACAGAGCCATGCATGTGTGTGATGAGGGTATAAGGCCTGCGAGTTTGCATGCTCTGAAATGTGTGTTCGGCCATTTTAAAACAGCACCACCAACTTCTACCAGTGGAGGAAAAAAAATAGCCGATGTGTGAACTCAAGCAGCATGACATGAACGTTTATTTAGATTAACTCATTCAATCAGAAAAGCACTAACATTTTGTGCTAAAAAAAAAAACTCAAACAGGCTTTGCGTGAAAATATGATTGTTAAATCAAAGTTATCAAAATAAGGAGTGAAAAACTTTGACCTTGTTGGACAGCTCCAAACACGACCCATCTGAATCAGACGAAGAGCGAGCTACACACTGCACGAAATATTAAAAGACATACCATAATAATAAATAAAAAAAATCACTCCTTTTAATTTCACTACATGGAGTTTATCGTGACTAAAAACATGAATGCGTCCAACTGGCATTTCACAGGATCTGGGTGATTTCAGAATAAACAAAAGCTCAAAAGACAAAAAAAAAGGGAAGTGATTAATTCTAAAAACGAATGTAAAGTAATTGTCCAGCTTAAATAATCGTATAAAACCCCCAATTCTAGTGAATATGACAGCAAAAGTTGCGTTACGAACCTTCACCAAGATGAAAAAAAAACTACTTTTCCGGAAACTGCATGCATGCAACAACACACTACGCACGACAACCCAACAAAGTTACACTTTTTATTCAACACAGTCGATCGAAGATCATGGTGAGGATTTTATGTTTAATTTCTCATCAATTTTATGCACTTTTTATTTGGTCAGCGTGTGTGTTAGCCGTGGTCCTGATCTGATGTCTCTCCGTGCTGAAATCAGCCCTGGACAGCGCCTCTCCCTTTCAATGCAACCCTCCATTTTCACTCCATACTCAAACTTAGTTGAGCTCGAACGCGACACAAAACCACACCCTAATCAGCTCCAAACCCCACGCAACCAAACCCATGAACTCACCAGCGGTGTTCGCTCGTTGTTTGGCGATGTTGTTGCAGAAACAAGTTTCGGAAGAAGTTATTTCCAAACTCTCAAATCGGTCGAGGAAGTACGCGAGACTCACGCATTCCAACACATAGCTCTCGCGCAGCCAGCCCTCGCTGGGGAGGCGTGACGTCAGCACGCACGCTCATGTTCTCGCGCTCTCAAAGTTTACTATTGTGTTTTGTTTTAGTGTGTGGAGAGTGACACAGTCTGATAATAACAAATAAACGAAAATATCCCGACGATATTTTGAATGGGCGCTGTTAGTTTAGTAGTAGCCAGTTTGTATAAGTTGTTCTCATTGTTTTGTGTTTGTTAACTCCTAAAGCTACACGTGGCAAACAGGCAACAGTACTGTTAAGCTGTGAATATTTTTTACAGCGAGATAGTGGGCAGCTGAATTTACAGGATCAAAACGAGTGCTAGGCAAACAATTAGTGAAGATGGTGGGGAATGCTATTTATTTTCCATTACATGGTGTCTGTTTTTCCCGCTTTTTTCTCTTTAACCATCCGATTTTTCCTAAGAATAGGCATCTGGTGCTTTGGACAAATTTGAAAACCCATACTGACCTTCAAGAAAAGTGTGTTTTAATCAGGTCCTAAAGTTATGATAGAAAAAAATGTAGCTGAAAATTGATTGATTATTTAACACAATTTTAGTAAAAAATCTTACTGTAAAAAAGAGAAAAACAATAATATAAAAATAAATAGAAATGTGACCTTTTCCTGGTTCAATCATTTCACAATTCATAATATCTTATCTTTAATATATGTATTTTCTAAAATTTACAATTAGCTGAACAATATCTTACAGCTATACAATTTTATTTTTATTTAACCCTGACCCTGTGTAGTCTTTAGTCAGATTTTACATCGAGAACAGTATGTATGAGAGACTAAATCTTTGAAAATGTGAAATATTTTTGGATCAATTTTGATATATACAAAATATATACAATAAATTGTATAAAATCATTAAATAGCAAATGTGAATTGTTTTTGTTCAAATGACTTTCACTTATTTAAAACCTTTTAAAAATTTAAACAAACAGTTGTATTAATAAATGGAAATGAGCTTTTTAAAGGTTAATAGAAGGTGCACTTTTTATGGTGCTTGCATAAGAGAGTGTCTTCAAGGTTTTTATTTTTTATTTTTAAAGGTTGTGATGGTCTTATGTGATGGTCCCAGATCGAGGACCTTTCCCGATCCTGCCCCCTCTCTCTCACCCACTTCACTTCCAGTCTACTCTACACTGTCCTATTGTCCTAAAGGCAAAACACCAAAAATAAATCTTAAAAAAAAAAACTTTTTATAACAGTTGAGTGTCTGCATTATTCCTGTTTGTGTTATGCAAATGATCTACCATGGCAATAATGATGTTCTAAATTTCACTTAAGTAAACATGCTCAGCAGGAGTATAGCAACGGTTTGTTTCTCATTCTTTAAGAAAGGACACTCTTTTCATGGCCTGAAGTTCACATAGTTATAGTTAAGTTATAGTTTAAAGGATGGATGCTTCAGAGGTGTGTTCAAACAGAAGGGAACCTGATCTTTAAAATAAGAAAATATCCATTCTGTATTTTGCTCATTTAAGTTTTTTTTTACACTAAGATATAAAGTGCTCAAAACATGAAGTTAGTCAAGGTCAGTTACAGTGGAACAGGGTTTAAATTTCTACGGTTAGATCCTTGATGCCAAAACCCTCTGGAGTTTTGAGGACATGCATGTTGGAGTCAATGTGAACTTGTGAAAAAGTATCCTGCTTTGCAGCACATGGGTAAAACACATGATATTATGAGGATATGAAAAGCAATGTTTTTTAAATATTAAAATCTGGTTTATTTCCCATCTGAAACATCAAGACAGCTTTGCTCCATTTAAGACAGGCCGCTTTATTTTACATATTAGCATATTGTTATATTTCTTTGTGGCCACAAGGCTGCGCTGAACATCTATGTGAGAAGAGAAGGCCATTCTGCATGAAAGAATGAAAGAATGAATCTGGGAAGTAACAGACTTTAAGAATGTATTTCTAACTCAAACATGAGCAACCAATCTATACAACATTTTAGGCCGATGTCATTATTATTATTATTATTATTATTTAATAGACAATTTAATACCACTAGTAATATTTGTGACCAAATTTTACTTTTGAATTTGACGAGGTTTTGCAGACAGTTACATTTTATGTTCAGAGTGAACATTTTATTTTCATTTTACTTTTTCGTGGCTGGCGTAAATAGTCACATGACCAGAGCTGTTAAATTCCAGTTTGTCTTTCTGGAAGATAATGTCTGTCCATCAGACATATTTGGTACTGTATATGCAGGGGCTTAACACCAAATGTTGGGCCCCGGTCACACAATCAAAGGGGTGGGCCCCTCACAACACAACACCTCATCAATCATGTTAATAATAATAATCAGTATATCATTATGCCTCCCCCTCTCGCCAAGGGCCCCTGTTACTCAGTTCCACTATTACCCCCTGTCATGACGCCCCTGTGTTTATGTCAAATTTAAAGGGTCTATTAACCAATTATGAAAATTGTCTCATATTGTGATTACTGTGATCACAGTATGTGACCAGTGGGTATGGCTATTATTAGTTAACTAAACTTGAAACCCAGAAAAAAAAAAAAAATAATAATAATAATAATAAAAAAAAAAAAAAAACTTTTCAGGTGCCAAGGCAACATTGTTAGTTTAGTTTAATTTGATGTACTAAAAAAGCTAAAACGGAAATAAAAATATAACCATAAATAAAGTGAAAACAGAAAATATAAAAATAAAAACTAATACAAAAATAACACTGGTTACCAGTGGGAATTGATCCAGTTACATTATAAAATAGTAGATGTCAAGTATTGTTAAATAAACAAAACCAACATCTAAGTCAAAATAAACATACATTTATTAATAATTAATGATTAATTTATCGGGACTTATTAACAAGCCAAGCAATTTTTGACTCTGTGTTTTCAGCTGGTTTCAAAAATAACGTATTTTACTGTGCTATCCGAAGAGTAGCCTAAAACACGTGTGCTGGGAGCGAATTGGAATTAAATGGCACAAGCAACCATTTCTAAAATAACGCTTTTATTGTGAAGCTGAACTCCTCATTTCCTCTCACTGTAGCTGGCTTCATATGATGATATGCTCATCAGCCTATCTACAAGTAATACTCAACAGCAAATCCGCCTGCAGAGTGTTTAGAGATCAGATACTTTCACACGCTGAGCTCAACTCTTCCCCAGCGCATATGAACCGATCTGAAAGCTCTACGCGTTACTTACTGTAAAGACTGGTTTAGAGTCTATCCGGAAACTTATCGCCATCTCCCTTCCGATATCATTAGCGCGGATCGTTCTGGCACGGAGATTTATCATATTTAAAAAAAACATCTGGGATTTGGAGATGTTGTGGGTTTTTAAGAAGATTCTTTCGACTGACGTTTTAACTTCATCTGGATCTGAAAGAAAGTTTCACTTCTGATTTCGTGCCGTCAAGTTACTCCTATAAACTTTATTACGGACTTAATTGTTGACTTAGTTGTTCATACACGTTTAAACGTCAATCATGATCGAGATTGAGGTTCAAGTCTCGGTTTTTCGATAGTTTCACTTTGTAATAACGGTGTAGTTTTAATCCAAGGAAATGTAGTTGATCGCGTGTTATTAGCTGAGAACTGAGCTAAGCTGTTGAATTATTTAAGATTTAGTGGAATTGGCTGAGACGTTTATATAAGTCCTATATATTTATATAAAAATTTTATGTATTTTTTATAATTAAAACCGTATTTGAGCGGTTTTTAACTTGTAAATTGATATATAAATATTAGAAGTTACCCAAAAGCCCTGGAAGTAGAAAGGACATAGGAAGGGATTGGGTTAGATTGTAAATAACAACCATTTAAAAAACGAGAGTGCGAGAATATAGCCATCTCCAGGATTTCTACAATGCGGGATGCGCCTGGGAATTTCAATCTTCTACACAGGACTTGCTCTCTAGTGGTGCTGCTATGTTTCCTTCACATCTCTGTCACTGTCATATACTATATGAGAAATTCGGATTTAAGGCAAACCTTCGTACAAAATCAGCAAAGCCCTCAGATCCACAGGAAACTGGCCGAACAGAGAGTCACTACAGAGGAGTCACCACAGAGACTGCCATCCGTGTCTAATGTCACAGAGACCGAGAGAAAGCTGGAAACATGCCCTGACAATCCACCTCGATTGGGTGAGCTGCTGTTTTATTTGAGTTGATCTCTGGGAACTTGTTCAAAGAGAGAGAGAGAGAGTATAATTTAATAATTTTATAGTAACATCACATGTAATATGTAGTTATATTGTGCTTTTTTGAAGTATATACACACAGTAACGAAACTAGTGTGTGTGTGTGTGTGTATGTGTGTGTATATATATATATATTAGTGCTGTCAAACGATTAATCGCGATTAATCGCATCCTAAATAAAAGTTTTTGTTTACATAATATGTGTGTGTACTGTGTATATTTATTATGTATATATAAATACACACATGCATGTATATATTTAAGAAAAATATGTTATGTTTATATATTGTGTATATATATATGAATATAAATTTATACATGTAAATATTTTCAAAATATATGCTGTATGTGTGTGTATCTATATATATACACAATACACACACATATTATGTAAACAAAAACTTTAATTTTGGATCTGACAGCACTAATATATATATATATATATATATATACTACCTTTAAATATTAAAATACCTCTTTTCTATTTTTGCTGATTTGGTGCTCAGGAAACATTTCTTATTATTATCAATGTAGAAAACTGTTTTTGCTGCTTACTAACCATGATACACCAGTAGTTTATCATTTGGAATTTGGAACAGTTTGGAATAAGTAAGATTAAAAAAATACTTTTAATCAACAAGCATGCATTAAATTTATCAAAATTGACAGTAAAGACAATGTTACATACATTTCTATTTAAAATAAATGTTGTTCTTTTGAGCTTTCGATTAATCCGAGAACACTGAAAAAAAGCATTAAGCATAAGAAACCATTTTCAAATACATTTAAAAATCTTAACGATTCTTTCAAACTTTTGACTGATATGCACAAATTTTAGTTTAACTTTTTAAATGTACATTTAACTGATGATCTTTTTTTCCCCCTCATTTTATGTGCTTGTCTATTTAGTTGGCGAGTATCACAAAAGTAAAGACATTTTGCTTAAACAAAATGAAGCCTATGTAAAAGGACCATTAATTGTTTTTGTATTGTGAAATGACGACTACAACTGAAAAAACAGGCTTCACTTTCTTTATTCAAAATATACATATTTTCCCAATTGATTTTGGGGTTAAATATGCCTGGACATGTTCTGGACAGTTTTTAATTCACCCATTTTTGTCCATCTTGGCTGTTCTAGATTGGTTGTTTTTAAATAAATAGTCTTCGTATAACAAATCCACATACTTGAGTTTACATTTTGCCAATGTATTATGATTCAGCACAGAGTAGTATTTCTGAGAAAATTTGTGGTTGTTATAAATGATGTGACCTGTCACTTTGTGTTCCCTCTGTCCAGATTCCAAAAACAAAAGCATGTTTTTACAGCTGCCGTGACTCTAGATGTTAACATTTACCCCTCTCTGTAACTTTCTGTTGAAAATACAGCGAATTCATCTCTCTTGCATGAGTGTTGTGGTAGTTTTCACGTTATCTACTGATGCTGATTCATTAGCTTCACTGAAGCCCTGTGTCGTAATGGAAAAATTGGCAGAGAAGCTTTGTGTTACACAGTTATTTTGTCTCGGCTATCTTTCTCATTTATCAGACAACATTGACACTGCTGCTTGTAGCAACAGTAGTATGATAATGTAATTGGATACACCTTAGTGCGTTGAATAATAATGAGTTCTCTAAGGAGAGATGGTTTACTTTAAGACACAAAGTAGCACTTGGCTGGTTTTTAATAGTCTGGATTATTCAATGGATTATTTTGCTTTTTAAAAAATACGTTTTATGTCTCCATAATAAAGCATGTAATTTGTGTTTTGTTTCTTCTAGTGGGTCCGCTTCGGGTTGAGTTTTCTGACCCGGTCACCTTAGACCTGGTGAGGTCAGAGAACCAAGCGTTGCAGCCCGGTGGACGGTTTAAACCCACAGAATGCATCGCCCAGCAGAAGGTGGCAATCATCATCCCCTTCAGGCACCGCGATGAGCACCTGAAGTACTGGCTGTATTATCTACACCCCATCCTACAGCGCCAGCAGCTGGACTATGGCATCTATGTCATCAATCAGGTTTGTCAGCAGTGCAATAACACTTTTGCAATCTTTGACCTGCGAGTTCTTAATCTGCAATTGCAGAAATGTTCAAAGGCCTGTGGTGCACTTTGATGTTATCATTGAGTTGGAGGTTAAATATCTCTGCTTGTTTGTTGAAATGGGCATTTATTTCCTCTTAAATTGAAGCCTGATCAGATGCATGTGTATAATGTGGCTTTACCCATTGTTCTCTTGAAAACTCTTCAAAGTAGATGGGATTAACATAACCATGCGAAGAGCTTTGTTTAGAAATGTCATTTGATGGTTCAGATAAAGCAAGGCAAACATCAGCGGCTGCTTGACTTTATTTAAATGCTCTTGTCGGTTTGTAAAGTATACTGTATCTTGAAATATTTGAGCTCAGTGTTTGCTATCAGTGATCATGAGTTCCTCTTAAAAGCTGTGCTTTGTAATATCCTTCTTTTAATATACATTGCCTACTCCCTTTTGATATCTGGAATGTAAACGCTCTGTTACGCGGGGCGTGCTGGGGCAAGAAGGTTTGCATGTGTTTTGCTAAGTCCTCTTTTCTCTTTCATTGGCCATTTTGAGTGATGTAGCTCACAAACATGGTTGTTCACAATTTCAAACATGCTTGTAATTCAAATTTATTAATACTGATTAACTCATACTGTACGGAAGTACCAGTATTTTTGACATCCCTACATCGAGGAAGACATTTACTATTGTGGCAGAAACTTTTATCCAATGCAACTTACAAATGAGGAACATTATGCAGTACACAGCACCAAACTTCATTGGTAAGAGTAGAACAAAAGCTGATTGAGAAGTCCCAGTATTCAGATTAGTGAATATGTAGTGAATGAATAGTGTTTTTTTCTGTGGACTCAAACATTTGCATTTGATCAGCATAGTCTTACCACATAAAAACTAAAATCCAACTGAACACCTTTTTAAATTCCTGAATTATTAGTATTTTTTTTATTTTGTAAATTGAATTTATTTAGATGTACATTTTTGCATAGGTGATTTTAGAAATCCATTTAGCTACTACAGCAAAAACTAATATCCAACTGAACACCTTTTTAAACTTTCTTTACATTAAATAAATACATTTATTTAAATGTACATTTTTCCATAAATGATTCTCAACATCAATTTAACTTTTACAGCAAATACTAATATCCTATTGAACGCCTTTCCTCCATTATTTTAGTAAAAATTTGGCGTTTTTAATTTAGCAAATACATTTTATTTAACCTACATGTAAACTTCCATTATCTGTTTGGTAAATAAATTTCCATTAATTGTTTAAAATAAGTCACTCATTTTAATTGGTAACCCTTTATAACAAGGTTCCATTTGTTAACATTATAACATAACATTATAACATTATAAACTAACAATGAAAAATACCTCTAAAGCATTTATTATTTTTTTTATGTTGATTCCAACATATACTAATACATTATTAAAATCTTTAATGGACCTGAGCTAACGTGGACTAACAATGAACAGCTGTAGTTTTTACGGACATTAAGACAGATTAATATATACTAGGGATGTAACGATTCACTCAACTCACGATTCGATTCGATTCACGATTTTGATTTCACGATTCGATTCACGATTTTATTTAATTTTTTTACAAAATGAGATTTAAGACAAATTATAAATTAAATGTGTCCTTTTATTATTGCTTGGACAAACTGCAGCACATTTCTTTGTGAAATTGAAATATAACAAAACTAAATTCAGATGCACTCTCTGCCAGCAGGTGGCGCTTAAAGCGTTTCCGCTGTAAACAAAGAAGCGCTGCACATATGAACTAGATGCAAGATGAAAAGAAAAAATACCATCTAAACTTTTCTAAAGACAGTAAGTTCCCCTCAGACATGGATTCATATAAATTCCTACCCCTAAATGAATCGCGATTTGTTTAGCATCTCAACCGATTTGAATCGTCACATATTTGAATCGATTTTCAACCGGCTCGCGGTTAATCGTTACATCCCTAATATATACTGTAGCAAATACATTGCTCATTGTAAGTTAATTTTAGTTAATGCATTAAATATTATTAGCAAATGGAACCTTATAGTAAAGTGTTATCTTTTAATTGATATAAAATGCATAAATACTGATTTGGTGCTGTGTAAGTTTGATAATTACAAGCATGCTTGTAAGGAAAATTGATACTGGTTAACTGATACTGCACAAAAGTACTTTTGACATCCCTACATAGAGGAAGACATGCCATGTACATTTACATTTAGTATTGTAGCAGATGCTTTTATCCAAAGCAACTTACAAATGAGAAACATGGCATGCCGTTATGCAGTACACAGCGTCAAGCTTCATGCGTAAGAGCAGAACAAAATAGTGTGAATAGTGTTTTTTACATTAATTTACATTTGATCACTATAATACTAAATATCTTGTTGCATCTTTGAGTTTGGGAACTCTTCAGCTATTCCTCGCCATCAGAAAAAAGTACAGCTAATCAGTGCTAAACCGAGGTTCATTACACAGTAGTTTCCCCAGACTGTGGTAGAGACAGCTGCTGTTTGAGGCTGGGCGTCCTTTCAAAAAAAGTTGAGTGGCCTGTTGTCATCATTCAGTAAATGCCCATGACATTACAGACTGGAACGAGGTGAGACGCAGTGCTGCAGTTCTTGTCTCTCCTTTATTTGGGACTCTCAGAGAACAGATGTCTTCATCGAATCCATTTCAAACAGCCAGTTATCAGTGGTTTGGGAATTTTCCAAGTAAACGAAAAGACTAATGTGTATCGTTCAGTGCGGCTTTGCACTAAAAGCATCCAAATGTGCTCGCCAAGAAGGTCTTGGACCTGTCAGCATTCTTCTCTGATTGTGTCTTCTCTAAAGTGTTACTTGATCGTCCTTACTAATTATTCTCTTGCTCTCTTTGCCACCCCCTTCTTTTCTCTGCACCTTGCATTTATTTTTTCACCCTTCCATCCTACATTCCTTCCCTTCTTCCTGTTCAAACCGAACCCCTTTTATGCGCATCAGAGGCCCTTGCGCTTGGGAAAAGGTGAGACGTCTGCTTGCTCTTTCTCTGGCCAATCACACTACGCTTCACTGGCTGCATCTGACGAATGGTAATGTTGGCTTCTTGATTATCTGTTTTCTATTTGTGGGTTACCATTTCCTTCCTTATTTTCTCTCTCTTTCTCTTTCTCTGCCCTCTGTCTCTCACTCTCTCAAGTTCATCATTTTCCCATGGATGGCAGTTCTGTGCCAAAAATAGCTATGTTTTGTCTTGCAAAAGTGTAATTTGATCACTTCATCTAATCTTTTTAGAAGACGTGTGACTTTTTAAAAGTTATCTGTTTATTTACTGGTGAAAAGTAATCCAAAAATGGCAGTTTTATAATTATTTACTCACCCTTATGACATATGCTGCAAATTTTTCTGTTGAACACAAAAGGAAATTATTGTATGAAGTTAAATATAATGAGGGTGAGTCTTTTTTTTAGTTGATTAGCTTTTATTTATTTTCTCTACTGTCCTATTTTCAGAAGTTTGCATCTATCTGTGCTATTTATATGAACAATGAAGCTCTTCTTCACTTTCAGTTCTTTGTGTTTTGATTCCTCAAGGGTCTTAATCCTTTTGTCTACTTTTTTTTGTTTTTACTCCCTAAAATGTGAATGAATCCTCCAGTGCCACATTGCAGGCCGACGATCAGATCTGGTTGTTGACATGTGAGAACTCTGCTTTATGTCAACTCAAAAGATGGCCGAAGAACAGGACGATCTGGTTCTTCAAAGCCAAGTCTCGCTCTGAATGCGCAGGCCACATCTTCTGAATCAATCATGGATGTCGTCTGCTCCACTAGAACAAGCGCACCTCAGTTCTTTCAGGGCAGCTCGTGTGAGTTTGCTGTGTGTTATAAAAGAGAGGATTGCTACTCTCTCTGTTGGGTGCAAGGGGGTTAACAGATAGCTCTGGGCTCCTGAGGCTCCGCCGTCATTACATTTCATTACGCAAGCTCAAGTGATGCTCTTCAGAGCGAGGAAAGGTGGGCTCCAGACAGGGAGCACATCCATTAATCATGAGCCAAAGGCCCAAAGCCAGCGGAAAGATTTGAATGACAGTTGGAAATGAGTCACCTTGGAATGTCAAATTTGGGCTTTCATGGATCTTCTTTGCAAAAATGTACCATGGTAACCATAGATACCACCACTGAAAACACAAAGGAACGTTTTATTACTGTGAAACAGGGCTTCCCAAACTTTTTTCTCAGCCAAACCCTTTTGACCACAAATATTTGCATGAAGTTCCCTTGAGTTAATATTTCAGTAATTTAGCATGGTTCTCACAGCTCTTTTATTTTTAATATTTTAATTGTACATTTTACAATATAATTAAATTATTTTTGTCATCAATTTGCAAACTCCAGTTTAGGAAACCCTGCTGTAAAATGAATATTTATAATTAGCCTTAGATCTTCTACAGCCACAGAGGAAGAAGCTCAAAGTTGTCTTTCTTTCTTTCTTTCTTTCTTTTTGGCAGTGGTGGCAAATACCACATTAGCTTTATCGTAGTAACAATAAATAGCATATTTAGCTAAAATTCATTAGTTACTGTAGTCAGACATGGCTTTTCTGTCGTGCAAGGAATTGTATGAAATTCATGTCAACTTCCACACAAAGTAGTTTTTATACAGTAAAAAAGTTTTTATTCTTATTGAACTAGTAGGATTTTTGTTACAAATGATAAAATATAAATATTAAAATAGACCAATATAATACTTTCTGACCACATTCTAATAATGGGCAATTTATGTTGTTTAATAATCCAATTTTTAAATCTGTGTTGTTGTATTTTTTTATTTTAAGCATCATTTGCATAATCAACACAAACTCAGCACACCTGAAAAAAACGATAGGTGCGTAGGAAAAAAGGTTCAACAAAACTGTCAAGTCCAAAATATAAAAAAGATGCAATCCCGCACACTATCAATTCTTGTTAAGTCTTTATTAACAAAAGCAACGTTTCGGTCCACTGATCATTTGCATGAAAATTCTAATTTGATTGTATTTGATTTACAGTAGGAAGGAAGGCTTTTTGTTTTACTACTTTTAATTAATGGATAACTGTATAAGGAAGTGTATATTGTAATAAATAATTTTCTCTGATATTATTTCCTTTCAATATCAGCCCAATCTGAATGTTACATATCATGTATTCTTGCTTTTTGTGAAAGTGTGTGTTACGGATGTTCTGTGTTTGTCTGTTGTCTCATTCATGTCTCCTGCCACCTGCCAGCCATGCTGTGAAAGATTGAATAGATAGCAGTGACGTGCTCCCATACAGCAAGCACAAGTGCGCTGATTTTATCAGTTTAAACATACCTACCCGCTCTAGCAAAGGCTCTATGGCACAAAATGTCATGCTACACATCACACTGCTTTATAGACATTTTAACACATTTCTTCCACCATCCTTTCATACGTTTCAATTTCATTTGTATAAAATGTGTATTTTTCAGCTTTGTCTCATCCTCTCTCTCTTTAATGGCAGGACGGCGAGGATACGTTCAACCGTGCCAAACTCCTCAACATTGGTTACGCTGAGGCTCTGAAGGAGTATGACTACGATTGTTTTGTCTTCAGCGACGTGGACCTCATTCCAATGGATGACCGCAACTTCTACAAGTGCTATAATCAGCCCAGGCATCTGTCTGTGTCTATGGACAAGTTTGGATTCAGGTATTTCTGGTCCTTGTTGACTGTTGTCTCATGTCGCGGCTTAATGGTGTATTTTCAGCCACCAGCCAGAATATATTTATATTTCTATGGATAACAAATTAAATACACAGGCTAGTATGGAACAAACATGGTTTGTTTGAACATGGTATCAAGGTATTCTCTGAATTTCTTAGGAGTATTATGTTGGCTCTATGTGCAAATTTAGATGCTGCGGTGTATATACATGAATATCAGCGGGGAGGACTGCATTACAGTATTTATATGAGAATTACATGTTGGGACTGATTGTAGCTCATCTGTTTAGATCTTAGAGTCTCATGTACTGTTTACACCTGGTCACTTCATGCGTTTTCTCTGAAAAGACCAGGTGTAAATATCCTCCAAAAAGCTTTCACGACGGATCGCTCAAATCACTTAAGGCGGTGGTCTGGGACACATTCCAGACAAAACTGGACAAGTGTAAATGCATCACATATGTAAATTTTACTCCCAAAGTGTTAAAAAAATAAATGTGTGAGTACTTCCGTTGATGCGAACTCTTTTAAATTTGCATGTAGCACGGGCATTGAAGATAGGATTAAAATCCGTTTTGCAGAGACACATTTATGTGGCCAGGTGTAAATGGAACCGTTTTACAAAACCAGATAGATATGTGATATATCAGAGAAAATGCATGAAGTGACCAGGTGTAAAAAGGCCCTTAGTGAAGCCATTTATGTTTGTACTGATGCTAAGCATCGAGTTTCACATAAAAAGACAATAATCCAGTTAGATGAAGTATTTTTATTTGAAAAGTATTTAATTCACTGGAGTTTTCAAAAATTGACATAGACTTTAATATATAATCATTTTCTTTTTCTGGCAAAAATTATTTTATTGTCTTACACTGTGGTTTACAACTGTTTTCAACATTGATTATAATGATAAATGTTTCCTGAGCAGCAAATCAGCATATTAGAATGATTCCTGAAGGATCATGTGACACTGAAGACTGGAGTAATGATGCTGAAATGTATGAGTAAATTACATTAAATATATATATATTATAAACAGAAAACAGTTATTTTAAATTGTAATGATATTTTGCAATGTTAATGTTTTTATTTTTGATCAAATAAATGCAGCCTTTGTGATCAAAAGAGACTTTAAAAAACATTACTGACTTCAAACTTGGTAACGGTAGTGGATACAGTCACAGAGCTATAAAACAACTCTCTGTTCTAAATACTGTATATGAATATAGTAATCTTTCATTTCCATACCAAATGACACCTATATCTTCCATGGTACCACCACAGTACTTTGAGTCTAAGATATCTGTAGTCCTGATCTTCGATGTGAAAATGTGAAGAAAAGAAAAAAATCCAGATGCTGTAGGATCAGACCCTTAGTGGTTGGTCTATGACCATTTTGTTCTTAAAAGAATATTTTGGGTTAAATTGCCGTAAATGTGTTTTTCATTAATTTGTACGGAGGAACAAGTCAACTTTATTTTCATTGGTAATCCACAACAGGCCTGGCTGTTGATTTAACCCAGTCATATTTAATCCAGAATATCCTTAAACCTTAGGTTACTCCAGCAGGACTTTGACCTGTAATAAGTGAGTCACTTTAGATGAAAGCGTCAGACAAATGATAAAGTAGCAGTATTTGGATGGGAATATTCTAGCAACGTCACACATGATTCCCATTAGGGCCTATTAAGAGCTGAGCTGTCTGTCTGAAATGAAACTATAGCTTGTTGGAGCGACTTGTACCAGTGACCTCCAGCACAAACTCCGTGTAACATGAGTATGATGTATGTGAAGGCGTGTGTGCGTTCACGTGTGTCCTTTTGTATTTACAGTGTGTAATGAGGAAATGATAAAGGTTAGGTTTTAAACTCCCACACACTGAAGCAGTTGTGTTGCTCTTTTGTAAGTCTTTTATAAGATCTTTACGCCATTCACCACTGCTAGCGGCTTTTTTTCCCACAGAACTTCAAAAGCATCTGGATGTAATTTGTAATTTTCAAGAGTTACCGTGTGGAAGAACGTAGGACGAGAGCGGGCCAGAACCTGAAGTATGGATAGTGTTTGCTCATTAATTTCAAACAGAGACACCTTTGTGTAGAGACAATTATGTAGAAACTGAAATGTATGTTGTAAGAAAAATAGCAATAAAATGATAATTAATGTTGTGACGATTGGGCAAACCTTTGGTCTAAAAAAAAAAAAGTATGCCTTTGCATGCTTTCCTCTATAATTGTCCTGTGTTTGAATTTGAATTGTATTTAAATGCACTTGTTTTCCTCTCTATGCAGTTTTGTGTTACTTTGAATGTTATTTTGAATGCACGTTCACTTTACCTGGCCGTGACTTTGCAGTTTCTAAAGGGATAGTCCACCCAAAAATGAATTTATATATTACCATTCACCAGTGCTGAGTTTTTACTACTGATTACATAATCAGATTACAAAAATTTAGTACTTGTAATTAGATTATATTACATTTTAAAATGCTCATAATCAGAGTACAGTTACCTTTTTTAGATTACAAATTATTTACACAATGGCAGTAAGCTATTCATAATTTATTGATTCTCCCTAATTCTTTTTTTTCCTTTCTAAAAAATTTCTAATGTGTCATATCGTTTAGCTTTGAATATTCTCAATATAGAATGGCCATGTAAATTTCATGTAAATTAATTTGTGATCCATGCTTCAGAACATGGGGACAAAAGCATCTCTCAGTCAATTATATAATGTTAATATTTAAATAATTTAACAAAACATTCGCATGTTCACAGCTCTCTGAAGTCGGTTAATGGTCACATTGACATGCAGATTAACAAATAAAATATTTCAAATGTAAAAATGTCATTTTAATTTGAATTTAATTAAATGTTCTTTTCATCAATTCATAAACCCTCGGCAGCTCTTTCATTGAAATAGTGTAGTGATTTACATTAGGTTTTGAATAGCAAATCTGCGTATCTGTTTTAGTATTATAAGAGTTGCCAGAGAAACAAATAATAGCAACTCAAGTGGTAGAAGCTTCAAGTGGTCTTGTTGTTATATGCTGACGTTCAGGTTTGGTAACATTCTTTAGAAGGCAGTGAGGGGTGTTGTTGAAGGGATGGGGTAATCTATGGTCTATGTGATTTTATTTTTTATTTACTGTAACAGTTTAACACAATGTAGCACAAGACACTGCTGAAACTGTCATTTTAATGTCAACTACTTATAATCGGAATCAGATGACAATTTTATTTGAAATTTCTTTTTAAAGCTGGTTTGAAGCTTTGTTCTTTAGTGTTTTTAGTGTTATTAGTAGGGATGCACCGATCCGATATTTAGTATTGGTATCGGCTCTGATACTGGCATTTTCTGCCGGATCGGGTATCGGTGAGACGAGTCCGATCCAAATCCAATATTCTGTGTATCCTATTCTGTCATTGTTAACCCTACAAAAGCCAAAAAACATTATAAAGCACCATAAAGTTCTCGTGCACTATATTCCAAGTGTTCTGAAGACGTTCCATAGTTTAATGTGAGGTACAGATGAATATTTAAGTCGTTAAATTTAAGTTCACGTAAACTTCTCTCCACTGCAGCTGTCTGTCATCCTCCATTCAGCATTCTTGTTCGATTACAACAGTCAAAACAATGAAACTCTCTCCAAGAGTGCACAGTAAACTGTTAAAAGAAAAGGCATAATAAACTATCGCACCGATATAATATACTACGCATCAGTATTTCTTCTCTTTGTGCTTTGAACTTTTCTATGCGGAGCACTCATTTGTTATTTTTCTTTAAAAAGAAAGTTGTCTATAGTAGATTGTGTTTAACACACAAAACAGTGATGATCTGGTCACCACACTGAGGTATAGAAATTCTACATTGATTAAAAAAAACAAAAAACAGTGGATTGGTATCGGCTGATACTTAGAATTGTTGGTATCGGATCGTTTCTGAAAAAATGGTATCGGTGCATCCCTAGTTATTAGAGGGCTAGAGAAACAAATAATAGCAACTCGGAGTACTAGCTTCTCACAGTCCTGGAAAACCTTAAAATATCAGGAAATTTTCAAGCTTTGAAAAGTTCACATTTCGATAGTTATTATAATTTTTCTAGTTACACTCTTAAAAATACAGGTGCTTCACGATGCCATAGAAGAACCTTTTTGTCTAAATGGTTTCTTAAAGAACCTTTAACATCTGAAGAACCTTTCTGTTTCACAAAAGGTTCTTTGTGGTGAAAGAAGGTTCTTCAGATTATAAAAAGGTAAGAAAGAGATGGTTCTTTAAAGAACCTTTGACTGAATGGTTCTTTGTCGAACCGAAAATGGTTCTTCTGTGGCATTGCTGTGAAGAACTTTAAGCACCTTTATTTTTAAGAGTGTATGCTCAGATTTAAAGTATGTATTTGACTAGAAACAACTCTTCTGAGTGTGATCTCTATAAAACAATAGAAAATATAGTCTAAAATTTTTTTTAAATATTTGACAGTCTTCCATATTTAATTTGAAATGGTCCTGCTGTTTAACAAATAAATTTTTAGCAGTACAAATATTGGATACATTTTGGTGATTTTTTTATTATGTAACAAGACACTGTAATTTATTATTAATTAATTGTTTAATTATTAATAAATTAAATGAATCAGACATAATAATAGATAACAATCTCTGATGCTCTTAGTTTGGTCAAAAGTAATTGTTTAATTATTAATAAATTAAATGAATCAGACATAATAATAGATAACAATCTCTGATGCTCTTAGTTTGGTCAAAAGTATCTCACACCAAATGGGTTCAGCTGCCATCCATGTTTCGTGACGGCCAACTATTGCTATGGTTATCACTGTCAACCATCACACGTTTGGGTTAGTCGGAGTGACACCACCTGATAATTTACAAGACCAACTGGCTTACAGCAAAACACAGAGGCAGCAGATGTTTATGGGCTCAAGTTCAGCCCCCTGCCAGTTCTCATTAGTGCACCGTCATTTAAACAGTCATTTCCCTGCAGAGAAAAACCAAGCTATATGTTGCACTTCTTCTGCACCTGACGTAGCAACTGCCACCCAACACGCAACTGTTCCTCAGTGTTTCTATCTCTCTCTGTCCGTTTCTAACAGGTTGCCATACGCACAGTACTTTGGTGGCGTGTCATCCCTGAGCAAGGAACAGTATCTGAAGATCAACGGCTTTCCAAACAACTACTGGGGCTGGGGAGGAGAAGATGATGACATATTTAACAGGTCAGATAACTTTTAAAAGAATGCTTCTCCCAAAAATGACAATTCTGTCATTATTACTCACTCTCATTTTGTTCTAGTGTGTGTGTGGCACACACACACAAAAAATTCGTTTTTAGAAAATCTTCACAACAGCAGTTTATAGTTTTTATAAACCGTTTCTGCCATGGATTTTTTTTAAAAATAGAAAGGTAATTGTGACTTTTTATCTCACAATTCAGACTTTTTCCCCTTATATAAACTCTGAATCTGAAAAAAAAAAATGTCAGAATTGTGAGATACAGGCTTTTTTTCTGGCAGCAATCTCAAACATCATTGCTCACTGAAAATAATGGCAAACAAGTTTGGAACATCATGAGAGTGAGAAAATAATGGCAGCAAGTCACAATGTGAAACGTCTTCCTTGCATTTACATTTGTGCACACCCACATACGTGTGTGAAGTCTAGTGTGAATGCTCCTTTACATTGAAAAACACGGTTTAATGGGTTTTCATCCTAGAGCTCAGCTCTTGTATGTCTTCTAGTGCAGGAAACCTCTGATCCAGCAAAAACCGGAAATGTAAATTCAGCTGAGGGTTCCATTTTAAGCCTCACACATCCTGTTGCTGTGCTGTCAGCATGGCACTGCAAAATCAGAAAGCTTAAGCATGTGATATAGAGCACATACGCTCATTCAGATGATTGGGGTCTGTACGATTTTGTTCTTTTTGAAAGAAATCAATACTTTTATTTATCTAGGATTTTTACTAGGGCTGTCAAATGATTAATTGCAATTAAGTGCATCCAAAATAAAAGTCTGTGTTTACAACATATGTGTGTATTGCGTATATATAACGCATATATATTATATTATTTATATTTATATATTTATTTATATAAATTATACATAAAATATAAAAATATACATACATTAAAATATATACATGTGTGTGTATTTATGCATACTGTATTTATTTTTTCAAGGAAAATGTTAAATTTTTATATAAAATATTTAATTTATATGTAAATATATACATATATAAATATGTTTAAAATATATACATGTATGTGTGTATTTATATATACATAATATACGGGGGTCCAACCCGGTACTAGCAAGGTGTACCTAATAAAGTGGCCAGTGAGTGTATATATGTATATGTAAACAAACCTTTATTTTAGATGCAATTAATCGTGATTAATTGTTTGACAGCCCTAATTTTTACATTATTGCAAAAAATCTATTTCAAATAAATGCTGTTTCTTTCTATTGATCAAAGAAACCTGGAAAAAAAAATCATGGTTTCCACAAAACTATTAAGAACAACTGTTTTCAATGTTAATAATAAGAAGAACTCTTTCTTGAGCACCATTATTAGAATGATTTCTGAAGGATCATGTGATTCTGAAGACTTGAGTAATGATGATGAAAATTCATAGGAATAAATTACATTTAAATATATAGAAAATATATAAAACTAAAATAGAAATTTCTGTTTTTAATGGATTCTTAAATAAATGCAGCCTTGACGAGCAAAAGAGACTTCTTTTTTTAATTCTAAAATCTTACCAACCTCAAACATTTGAAGTGTAATGTAGTTGAATTTAATAGCATAGTATAACTGAAATGCCCTGGTTCTATGTTCATAACAGTTGGGAGATAAAGAGCATTCTGCCAACAGCAAGGACATGGCAGATAAAACCTCTTATCATCAGCCATCTTTATTCTCGTGTGGTGTTTATTTTTATTTTCTATTTTTTTTGTGGGACTTTCTCGACTGTTATTTAAAGGAGAGTTGCATCATCCGCATGAACACTTGCATCTGTCAGCTGCTCAGCTACAGCATTGTTTTTCCAGTGGAACATTCAGGAAAAAGAAAATACTTGCAGAGCAGGAAACTGCTTTTCATATTCGAAATGCCAAAGAATGCTGGTTGTGCTGTCTGAACAAACCCCCTACACTTAAAAGTTCAACTTTGGGACTAAATGTGTTTTGCGCTGTTTGTGCTACAGACGTAATAGATCCCTTAAATTGACAGAATTACATTTTTTGGGGGGAACTGTCACTTTAAGACTTTTGCCTGGCAGTTAAAACAACAGGCGAAAGAATGCATTCGCAACCACCCACAACACCATAGCAACTGCAGTACAATATGCCGAATAGAGTGTAACAGGTGCCTATCCCCCTTTTTCAGCTACTCTGGTTCCAGAAGTATTTTTTCCATTCATTTTTCCAGTATGGATTTTAAAAAAAGTCTTTGTTAAAGCACTATAAGCCATGAACCAGGCCAACCAGTAATGAGGTGTATTACAAACTCTCTATGCTCTTAAAACACACACACACACATATATATATATATATATATATATCTCAAATATTTAAGTGTTTTAAAAGAGCATGGAGAGACTCAATTACACCATTTGCGGTGCTTCATGGGAGAGGGCGGAGCTCTGGGTTCGTTTGGCACAGTTTGCTCGCTGCAACTCACTGATTGGTGGAACCCGACAGTCACACTCTATAAACTCAGAAGACATTAGCAAGTCAAGCAATAGTATTTCCAATCAAACAAGTTTAGCTTGTATCTTCATGAGTTAGGAAAGATCAGTATCTATCATGTTTATTGGGTTTTTTAAAGGTACAGTTCACCAAAAAATGAAATGACTCAATGTCTCAGTGGGGTCTAATGTTGTTCTCTTCCACTTATAATTTGTCTCGACCATTATACTTTGAATCATATGTATTAATTATGGACTGATACGAGCTGCATGTTTTCACAGGGTTTCCTCCAAAGGGATGTCTATATCAAGGCCTGACGGAGTCATTGGAAGATGTAGGATGATCCGCCACGACCGAGACAAACAAAACGACCCCAATCCACAGAGGTACTTGAACATATTACAGCTTTATGGCTGCTTAAAAGTTTAACCACTCTGATAATCTCAATACATTGCCGTATTTAAAAGATGAAATTGTGTGGGGATGAAAAAATGCATTTGTAACATACTGTACACTGAACTTAAAGTGATAGATAACCACTGGTGTCAGAGTAATGCCAGATTTGTTTAACGATTAAAAAAATCTAAGTTAGTTTACGATATGTACAAGGTTATAAACAGTCCTGCTTTGAGTAATGTTAATTATGTAATTTCCTGTCACAGGTTTGACCGAATAGCTCACACAAGGGAAACAATGGCAAGCGATGGGATCAGTTCATTAACATACAACGTTGTTAACATTGAGAAAGACCAGCTATTCACCAAAATCACAGTGGATGTGGGAAAACCATGATTCCTGCGTACAGACCAACATAAAACTGAGTGAAACCGCAGCGCTGACTGTCGAAAAACCAAATGTGCCTTGATATATCTAGGTCAAATGGATAATTTACAAAGTGGATTCTATATTTTTCAAAAAAGACTTGTAAGTACTTAGAAATGTTTTGCCATCTTTGCACATGTGATGGTGAACACAGGGGTCTGGACTCCTTTTGCCCAGTGAATCAGAACTGTTCGGCTGCTAAAGGAGACACACAAGGGTTTCAGGTTGTCCTCGAGGCGACGGGCCAACCTTGTTCTGTTTCAGACACTTCTGCTGAGGAAAAAGATTATATTATAAGCCATTCGATGGAAGCAGCATATTAAAAGTGATCTAAATTGTTGATGAAAATGTCCTTGTGGTGGGACAATGTATGTGAGTTGCTGTGTATGGGATTATTTAGTTTGTGTGTTTGAAAGCGAATATTTAAAGGATCGATTTTGTTAATCAGCAAGCTAAGCAATGCAAAAAATCGGGGATTTACCAATCAAGGGCTAATCATATACCAGCAAACTGGCATTTTTGGGCTGTCACATTTTTGTTTACTTTTATTACGTATTGCATCTCATTATCTTGTTGCTGTACCAGGTTATTTGTACTTTCAGAGCCTTTTAAATGATATCTCTCTTTGTTAGGGGCAAGATGTCTGAATGTATTGGCCTGCATGGTTTTTATTCTCAAGTGCTTGATGCGTATCGGACCATTATTATGTTTGCTGGAACACCAAAGTGGCAGCCTTGCATCTTAAAAGACATTAATTTCCTCCCTTCCGTTTGGTGCATTATCTTTGCTGTATTTGATTTTTTTTGATTGCAAATCTATCCCGTCAAATGCAGCATTATCAGGTCAAGCTTTTGGATTTGCTCGGTCCTTTATTGCATTGAGAATTTCTCAGATCTATGCTGGTTATTAAGGGCACAAGAATATTCAAGCTGTCTACTGTAATGAAAACATGAAGCCATTGAGAACTTTGCTGAATTGACCTGTTGATACTTGTTTTTGGTTTTTTTTGTGCTGGTCTCCTCTTAAATTCTTTTGAACAAAGAAAACAGGATTTTTTTATTTTAAAACCTGTCATTGTGGAAACCAAAAATGCCTTTCAACTCTGTCAGGGGACGAAATGCAGATGAAGCAAATGAATGTATGTCAGCTGTTTTGCTCAAGTGCTTTTCAAGATGGCGACTAACAACCCGTACACAATGTACAGAATGTTTAAGTTATGCAGCCAAATTTTTTCCCTCTGTGCCGAGCACCCCAAAAGACCCATAGAATTTCTTTCCAGCTTAAAAAGTCTCCAATGCCTTATAAAAAGTCCTTTGCATCAGGAAAGAAAACTACCTCTCCACATGGCACAGCACTCGCAAGCAGAAGGGATAAGCGGCTAATGCTGTCTCTCAAACTAAATGCTTTGGCAAATAATCTTAGCCTTTTTTCCTCTTAGGTCAGTTAAAGCGAGGTTTAAATCTGTTTAGACAATGGTCTTTGTTTGAGAGCCAGCACATAATTCAATTTATTTTTAAGTTTTCATTTTCTTTTTTTAGTTCTTTGTTTGATTTCTCTGTTGTTTTCAACACAACTTATTTGTTTCCTATTTTTGATGTTCCTCTTACTTAAGTGTAATGCAGTGAACAATGAACACAATTTTGGAATTATGGAAATTAAATAATTAAACTGTTTGATTTAACTCGGCTTTTGGGTTGTGACTTGAAATAAAAGACAGTAACATGACGTGTTTGGCCAGAGGCAGCCATCATTGCCTTTTCAGCCGAATATAGCTTATACACTGTAAAAAGTAATCACTGAATCTACTTAAGAAAAAACCTATACTTATACACAAGTTACCTATACAAAGTTACAGTAAGTTTTATTAACTCAAAAATGATAAACTAATTTGCCTGAGAAATTTGAGGCAATCAGTTTCCACAGGTTTTCCAAGTAAGTTCAACTCATTACTTTTTACAGTGTAGGCTATTGTAACTTTCCATACACACAAACCAGTAAATCTTACCTAACCACCTATGTGATCTTACCTCAGAGCTAATGTTTTTGTCGCTATAGTTATATAGCATAAATGGATGAATGGAAGGATAGATAGACTTTGTCTTATGTTTAAAATAAACATTTTTATGATTTCATCTCTGAATCTGATAACCCACCGAATTGCTGTGTATTGACATATTGTTTATAACTGACATTGAAGCAGTGCCAGAAAAAAACATTATCAGGAAGTCAAGATAAACAATAGGCCATGCTTTGGTTTTCTCATGGCGGTATGTGAAGTTGAGCTATTACCAATGAGAATGTCATTAGCTGCCACTGTATTTGAAGGGGTCATATGATGCGATTTAAATTTTTTCTTTCTCTTTGGAGTGTTACAAGCTCTTGGTGCATAAAGAAGATCTGTAAAGTTGCAAAGACTAAAGTCTCAAATCCAAAGAGGTATTCTTTATCAAAGTTAAAGAGTCAACCACGCCTACCTAAAACGGCTCGTTCTAACACGCCCCCACATGTCTACGTCACGATGTGCGAAGATTTGCATAACACCGCCCAAATGTTCACACAAAGAAAGAAGGAGTAACTTTTATTCTCGCTGTAGTATTGTTGCTGCCGCCATGTCGTGAAGACGCTGTGTGTTTCGTTGTGAAAGCGAAACTACTTTGTTTGGCCTCCCAAAAGAGGACGATATCCGCTTTGTCATACCTAGAGCTGATCCATGCTGGTCGCTGAGGGAATACATCAACTTAGTGCTGTGGATCACCGGATATGCTTTCACCGTTTTCACCGCTCCTTCATCGGATCCGCCGGGACCGCCGTTCTCGATCCCGCCGCCTCAGCTCACGGTAAGCCGGGGCTTTCGCTCATGCTAGGCCGCTGTGTTTTTCGTTGTGAAAGCGAAACTACTTTGTTTGGCCTTCCAAAAGAGGACACGACTAGAAATCAGTGGTTAAGTTGTATTTACAACACTGTTCCAGAACACTTCAACCCAAATATTCAGATGTGTGCAGCACATTTTAAGGAGGACTGTTTCCTGATCCTGGTAGAGTAGACTACAATGCCGGCTGTTCTGACTCACAGACTGTAAGTACGTTTTTTATATTTAAAGAATTTGCCACTGACGATTCAAACACGAGTTTTGAGCAGTGTAGAGTAGCGCTGTTGTTTGTCGTTACTCCGATCACAAATGCAGACATGGTTTTAGGTTTACGCGGCGCGATGCAA